AAAAAAAAAAAAAAAAAAACCAAAAAAAAAATTCTGCTTGCTTGAGAAATATTCGGGTGTACAATACATTTTTATTAACTATCGTCACCATTGTACAGAGATCTTGTGACTGTATTTGATTTGCATCTCTTCCTGGCCCCGGCCCCCAGTCCCTGAGTTCAACTTTTCTAGCCCCCTCGTGTTAGCGGGAACACGTGGTGATCTTCGTTCTGTGCCTGGCTTCCTTCTCAGCATGTCGTCCTCCAGGTTCATCTGTGTTAACGCAAAGGACAAGATTCTGCCCCTTTTTCATGGCTGAATGGTATTCCATGGCGTAGATGTACTGCAGAGTCGTTCTCCATTTATCAGCTGGCGGACACTTAGGCTGTGCTCATTTTTTGGCACTGGGAATGGTGTTGCAAGGAACACGGGGTGCGGAAGTCTCTGGACATCTGGTTCTATTTCCTTCGGATCTGTACCCAGCAGTGGCCTTGCTGGGACTCACGGCGGTTTTCAGTTTCTAGTAATTCTCTGAGTTTCCCAGAGCAGGAGCCCCATCCTGTCCCCCTGCGCCCCTGGCCTTGAAGTAGGGCCTTGAGAGCGTTCCTACCCACAGTCTAACTACTGTCACCGCCTTTCAGGAATAAGTACCTTAGGGAAACTGAGGCCCGTTCCCTCCTGTCCCATAGGCCTGGTCTAGTTGCCACCTGTGTATATGCTGGGCCCTGAAGGAGGGTACAGGAGAGGAATCTGGAGGGGCTCAGGGGGCTCCGAATTTTCACACCTTGTTACCCTCCAACCAAGCCCTAAGCAGAAGCCTGGAGCCAGGAAAGGATACAGAGGTCTGACTCTGGGGACACCATCACACCCCTCCCACCAAGACCTGTTCGCAGACCCTGAGACTCCAGGGATAGGAAGCTGAGGCCCCCAACACTGGAGTGGCAAAGCAGTGCCTGGGCTGGCGGAACAAGCCAACACCTCAGGGCCTTTGCACAGCCCATTCCCTCCTGGTTGGCCTTGCTATTCATTGTCCACAGCAGGCATTTTGTAGGCTACCCATCCTTTTCCAGGGTCGCAGAGGGCCCTGGGGGTCAAGGTCCTGGCCCCACAGGCCCTTTAGCTGGCCATGACCTTGTCCTCCCAGAAGGCACAGGGGAAGACGAGGGGCTCCATAGGTGTGGGTGGGCGGAGGCCGGTGGACACCACTCTGCTGGCCTTGGAAGGCGTCAGTTCCCCGCATGTCCCAGGCAGGGTGTGGCATCCCTGGCAGGGCCAGGGAAGGAGCCTGTTCTGAGCTCGGGCTGAGTCACAGCAGTGCCTCTCCCAGGCTGTGGTGGAGTCGAACCTGGCTTCCCTGGGGCTCACAGGAAGCTGTGCGACGTCTGGGTCCCCACAAGCACACGGCCCTGATGACTGCGCCCAACTGCGATGAGGCTGGGTGGGGAGCAGCCCTCACCCCCAGGTGCGCCCTGGCACGCGTGCCTGCTGACTGGGGACTTGGCCTTCCCTGGGGCTGGCTTCCTCCCGCGAGGCTCGATGCGCTGGGCCACCGGTTTAAGAGGGGACGCCTGTCCTGGGTCCTGATTCGGATTTGCGAGGGACAGTGAGGCAGAGTGCTGACCCCGTAAAACACACAGGCAAGCCCACAGCGTGCTGGTCCCAGTCTAAGGGAGAGGCCGCCTGACTTCCAGGGCAAGTGAGCCTCGGCCCCAGGATGTCTGCCCAGACTGGGCACTCTGAGGCCCACAGGCCTGGGCGTCCTTCGAAGGGGGTCAGAGGTGAGGTGAATCCTTTCAAGCCAAATCACCCCAGAAAGGCAGCAGAGTCCCGCGGGGCTGGCGGAGGAGGTGTGTGCACAGGGTCTGGCCTGGACAGCCAGCCCCAAATGTGGCTCTGGCCTGTGACGCCTGGTATCGAATGCTGTGGGCTTGGGTCAGCTCTCTCTCCCTGTGGCCTGAGCCCTCAAGCTGCTGACTATAAAAAGAGTTTCTGGATCCTCACCTGAAAGGACTGGCGGAGTTGTGAACTCACCTAGTTTAACAAGGGCTTTACAAACTCTGTAGTTTACGGTGCTATTAAAAAGCAAGCTGATGCCGGGGATTTCGCTCAGCGGTTTGGTGGCCTGCCTTGCAAGAGCAAGGACCGCAGTTCAGTCCCTGGTACAATGGAAAAAAAAAAAAAAAAAAAAAGCAAGCTGTTTTTATTGTCTGCCACAGGCAGGCAGGCTTTCCCAAACCCTGAGTCCCCAGGAGTCCTGTGGGCCCTGTTATGCCCGGAGCTGGCGGGGCAGAGGGGCTGGTTGGCAGCCCTGGGAGGGCTATGAGGGCAACTCCACCCAGTCCTGGGGCACCTTCCTCCATCCCATGGTGCTCCAGCTGGGGAAATCACTCCGCAGCCATTGGGGGGTCACTCCTGGGACTGTTTTCTTATTGTGGTAGTGGGGATTGAACCCATGCTAGGCAAACTTTACAATGAGCTATGTACCCGCCCCCCTTTTTAAATTAAACTTTGTGTTATCGATGTGGTCCTGGGGTTTGAGCCCAGGGTCTTCCCTTTGCACTAAGCCACACACACACACACACACACACACACGCTCCCTTTGTTATTTTTTTATTTTCTGACATAGAGTCTCACTAATCATTAAATTGCCTGGACTGAGCTTGAACTCTGGACCTTCCTTCCTGCCTCAGCCTCCTGAGGCTCGGGGATTACAGCGCACCACCCTGCCCGGCCCAGCATCCTTGGGATGTCTTTAGGGAATGTCTGATGGAAGCCCTGAATCAGTCGGGCCTGGGTTGGCTTTGTGGCTCGGCCACCTGCTAGCTCCCATGAGCAAGGTGTCTGTGACAGTAGAAATGGCCCAGAGCAGTGAGAGCCCTGGTCGTGGGAGAGGCTGACCAGGTGGAGGGGCAGCGTGGCCTGGGGCCGGAGCCCGCGTGGGAAGGGGAGGTTCTTGGTGTGTGTGGGGGGTGGGGGTGGGGGTGCCGATTACATTGGTAAAACATTAAAGATGAGGGCGGTCAGGACCCACATCAGAGAAGGGAGTTCAATACAGAATGAAACTCAGTATAAGTGAAAGGAGTAAATACGGGTATGGCTAGGTGTGTTCGGTGCTTACCACACCCACACTGCACTCCAGGATCCCCTTGGTTTCCCACCCCTGCAGATGCTCAAGACCTCATGGTGTAGAGTATCTTCGTGAAAGCACGCATGTCCTCCTGGGTACTTTATCTTCACGTTGTTTAATGCACAAGGTAAATGCTCCACAAATGGTTGTTATGCTATATTCTTTGGGGAGTAGTAACAGGAAAAGTCTGTGCCCGGTCAGTGTGGATGGAATTGTTTTCCTCCCTATTTTCTGCGTGATGTTGATTGGTAGGGCGGGGACCCGCGGAGACAGAGGACCCTAATGTACGTGGCCCTACTTCCTGTCCTACCCCCGCCCTCTGCCTTCCCGGAGGGTCTCACAGAGCAACCTCCCCATATCCTAGCACAGGCTTTGGCTTCTAAACTCCATTCTCCACCAAAGGGACCGGGGATGCTGGGAGCTATGGCTGATGCTTGGGCACGGAAAGGACGGCATGGGCCTGGCATACACTTTGGTGGCAGAAGGTGGGGAGATACTAAAGAAATAATAGAGCCACGTCAGTATGCCCCAGGAGCCACCAGAGGGGCACCCACTGGTACCTCTGGGTCACAGCTGTCAATCTGAAAACAATGACAGCTTGCCGAATGCAATTAAAAAAATCACAAGTCCGCATTGCTGTAAAAAAACAGGTGAACGAATTGGAAGTTTGACAAGGGCTGGGCCATTTATGTAGTCTCAAATATTATACAGTGACAGAGGTAGAATAACTTTACAGTGGAGAAAGCTGGCAGCCACCGATCATCGTGACCAAGTCCCCGACAGGGCCAC